GTAGCTACCAAAGTGGCCCAATCATAATGATTGATGAATATTAATTTTTGTAATAGATATAATTAATCATAAATTAGTTACTATCTAATTTAATATTCATATTATGTAAAGGTTGGTAGCTACCAAAGTGGCCTAACCATAATGATTGATGAATATTAATTTTAGTAGTAAACATAATTACAATATTTCATGAATTATGATGCTTATTATTTTTTGTGATATTCCTGAATATTGAGTTTATTTGATTATGAGAAATAATTCTCTAAAGAGAATTGATTTTCAAGTGATTAAATGAAAATTAAGGGATTGCATGTATTTTTTAATTAGGTAGATATAGAATATCCGAAGGTAACTTATCTGTTTAATTAAATAATGCATCACCAATGAAGGTATACATATAAATACAAATAAGCATCATTATTAGTATTTTATAGTTGTCACCCCAAAGGGGTACTATAGTTATACATTGTATTTATATTTTTAAGTTATATAAACGTGTTGTTAACTCAAAGCATTATTGTTGTGAGCATTTTATCTTATTATATTTGTTTTATTATATCTCTTAATGCGCACGCTACATATGTTCTGATTCTCAATAGGACTAACTTCTCATAATGGAATGAGTAAGTTGAGTTCAAAATTTAGATGTGTTAAATCTTGATTTAGCATTTTAAATTGAGAAACCTACTGTTATTACTGATAAAGACAGTGAGGGAGAAAAGATTCTCCATAAAGTTTGGAAGAGATCGAACAGATTAAGCATTATAGTTATGTGAATAATTGTTTCCCATATTGATAGTGCTAAGGAATATTTTGACTAAAAGAATGTTTTCGTATTATAGATAAATATCTAAAACGAAAATTATTAATTTATATTACTATTATGCAATTTTGTTGGTACTCTTATCATGTATGGGTATGTTCTTAAGATGATAAATGTTCCTACAAAATTGAGAATCTTATGGATGATTATGGATAAGAAATTTCTCATTAAATTTATTCTCAATTTCTTGTTCACCAGTATGGGTCATTTCGAATTAACACAAGTAGAAGTGAATGAATTGACTATATGATAATTTAGGAAGAGACAAGGCTTACGCAGCTGGTAATCATTATGGTCATTTAATTACTCAAGAAGGTATAAATAAATTTTAGGAATAAGCTTGAAAATGCATTAAGTGAGCAACACCTAAAATTAAAAGATTTAAGCCAGTCTACAAAAAGAAAGGAATGTAATAATGAAAAAGTGTCATTAATGTATTGAACACTTTTAGAAAAGGTACATGAAATATAAAGAATGATTCAAAAAAGAATGGTAAATTTTTGGCTTTTGTATATTTCGAATTACTTATTGAAATTCTTTTTAATACATGATAGGTTGATTTAAGTACTAATGTTTATGTTTCTAATAGATGCAAGAATTTCTTATGGCTTAAATCCCAAATTAAAATAAGAATTTCTTATTTATGATAGTTGAAAAAAGTTTTGTTGAAACCATTGTGACATTATGTTTAATGTTAAATAGTGGATTTTATTTATGTTTATTCAATTTCCCATAATTTGATTTTATTTCAAAACTTTATGTTAATGTTTTTTCATTTAAATTTGATAATGATGTTTATTCAAGAAATTCTAATTTGTGAGTTATGGTATTATTGTTGATGATTTCTGTAAATTCAAACCTAATAGTTTATTTATTAAAAACCTTTTGATCTTGCATCATAATGTTAGAATTAAGCGTAGCTCAATTAATAGAAAATTTATCTTTCTTGTGACTTAAAAGACTAGGTCAATATCTAGTGAAAGATTAGGAAAATTAGTAAATGATGTGATTCTCCTGAATTAAAACTTTACTGATTTTGGTGTGTGTGTAGATTGTATTAAGGATAAACAAACTAAACACACAAAGAAATGAGCCACAATAAGTATAAGGTTTCTTGAAATTATTCATATAGGCATTTGTAGACCTTCTGATGTTCCATCTTTTGGTGGAGAAAAGTATTTTATTGCCTTTATAATTAATTTTTCACGTTATGGATATATCTATTTGTTGTATAAAAAATCTCAAGTAGTGGGTGCTCTTGAAGTATACATAAATGAGGTTGAAAAACAAATAGATAGAAAAGTGAAAATCATAAAGTCATATAGAAGTGGTGAATATTATGGAAAGTATGATGAAACTGGTTAATACTCTAACCGTTTGCTAAATTCCTTGAAATATATGGCATTTGTGCTCAATACACTTTGCTATATATGCCACAGCAGAAGCGTGTAACTGTAAGGCGTAATTGTACTCTTATGGAATTGGTTAGGATTATGTTAAGTAATTCCTTGTTGCCCATAATGTTGTGAATGTTAAGTAATCTAAATGGTACAAGTTTTACTATCCTAAACATAGTACGATAATTATTGAAACCGGTAATGTCAGATTAATTGAGAATGGTGAAGTCAGTGGGAGTGATAAAAAAATAAGAATGTGATCATTTAAGAAGTTAGGGTTCAAATTTCTTTACCCATAATTTCTAAAGAAATAATTGTTCCTTCAGTTGTTGAACTGTATAACAACGAAGAATAATTGAATGATCAACAAATCTATAATGAGATTGTCATCAATGAATAGATTGTAAAAGACTTATAAGGAATAACATTAAGACGATCTCAAAGAGAAATGAAGTCTGCTATTTCAGATGACTATATGATATATCTGCAAGAATCTGATTTTGATAAATAATGAGATATATACGAATCCGGTTACATATGCACAAGCCATGAACAGAAATGATTTTACTAAATGGATTAGTGCCATGAATGAAGAGATTATAAAGAAACCTTCTCTCCAGTATCTAAGAAGAAATCTTTTAAAATATCATGGCATTAGTAGCTTATTATGATTTAGAGTTACATCAAATAGATGTGAATACAACTTTTATAAATGAGAGTTTAGAAAAGGAAGTCAATATGGAACAACTTGAAGGCTTCACATTAGAGGGTAAAGAATATATGATCCATAAACTTAAGATGTCAATATATTAATTTAAATAAGCTTTCTAACAATGGTATTTTAAGTTCAATGATACCATTATTTTTTTTTTTGGTTTTAAGAAAAACACTGTTGATCAGTGTATATACTAAAAAGTTAATGGGAATAAGTTTATATTTCTGATTCTATATATTGATGATATTTTATTTGTTAGTAGTTATCTTAATTTATTATATGAAACTAAAAGTTATCTCTAAGAACTTTGAAATGAAAGATATGGATGATGCATCTTACGTGATAGGAATAGAAATATTTCATGATAGATTATGTGAATTTTTTAGGATTGTCTCAGAAAGCATATATTGAAAGAGTTCTAGAAAGATTTGGTATGTAACATTATTCAACTAGTATTGTTCCATACATAAAAAGGGATAAATTCAGCATAATGCAATTCCAAAGAATGAGTTAGTTAGAAGGTAAAGAAACGAAAAATATTCCTTATGCATATATTGTGGAGTTTAATGTATATACAAGTTGGTATGTGATAAAAGATTATATGCTCACACTTAGGAAGATATTTTTTAATTTGTTATTTGTTTCTTTTGGCTGGAAGAAAAATATTATGAAAAAGTATAAAGTAATTTTTTATTACTTTGTCTATTATGATTTTTAATTTGTAACATGTTTTGAGGTTACAATTTATTATTACAGAATTTATTTCAGGATTTGGAGTTATGGGAACCATTTTCAGATTGCTGAAAATTTATGTTGTAATTGTTGATCTTCTTATATGAAAAATGATAGGTATTCTAAAGTTGAAATACTTTATCATTAAAGAAGATGTTTAGAAACAACGAATGTCTATTGAATATATAAACACACAATTTATGATTGCAATCCATTAACGAATGGACTACCACCCAAGACATTTATGGAACATGTTAAAAGAATGGGTCTTGAATGTAGTCAATGATGATTATTTTTTAATTGTGGATTGCTTAACATTGCTTATATATATATTTGACATTTTGCGCTGATTAAATATGTTTCTGATATTTTCTATTAATTAATGTACATGTACGTATTGCTTTAATAAATGGTAATAGGAATAGTCTTGGAAAAGACATTATTGTTAGATCATTATTGATATTTCTCATTTATAGACAATGTTGAATAGGTTACTAATGTTGTGGTACATGGAAGGGACTGTGTCATTTAGAAACATATAACCGCCATGACTCGTATTGGTAGTTTATTTACCATGGTATTTATGATGACCAACTTAATGAGTCAATCTGATTTATGGTGCACACTAATAATTATTTTACTAAACCACTACAGAAGTTATCATATGTGCTAAGTGGGAGAATGTAAGATTATTTATTTAATTGTGGCCATATGATTTGAACATGTGACATATTATTTAATAGTTAAATAAAATAGATATCAGATTAATATTATATTATTTGGTCAATTTATCAATTACTTTTTTGGTAATTATTTATTAAAGAAGTGTTTTCTTTTCTTGTTTCTTATTTTGATGGAAAGTGGACTTAGATTACTAAAAGGAAAATTGGTACTCTTTCTGCCTTTATAAAAGTGCATATACTCCATCAATGATGTACAATTAATGATACAACACGTAAAATTTTTATGTGTGCAAAAGGCCAAGAGAGAGAAATCGGTTTCCACGTTTTGACTATTACAGTTTAGCATATTATTCGTTCCGCAAGGATCTCGACGTTGAACTTGATTTCTACGATATTTGCAATCCCAAACCTATAATTAGGTGGAAGTACTCAATGAAAAATTGATTCATAATTGTTGGTAAATTTTGTGCTAAAACTATGAAATGGAGATCCTAAATCCATTTGAAGTTTGTTTCTAAATTTTGAATTTGAAAATAACAACCAGCATTGTAAATCAACATCTATATTCATATATATATATATATATATATATATATATATATATATATACATATCAAGACATATATAGACACAGATGAATAGAGAGAGACCTGCTTCGTTTGAAGACAGTTTCAACGATGTTGAAATGCTCGATTAAGATGTATTTTCCTCTAGGGTTCTTGAGATATATGGAATGATTGTCAATCCATAAGGAAGTGTTATGGAATTGTTGGTGTCGAGTGAGCCATCTACGATCATTTTGGTGTTGTCGAGTGAGCGACGGAGAGAGAGGGCTCTGTATCGGGTTAAAAGTTTCAGACGATTTGGTATTGAATTGGCATTTGAAATATCAGGTTTATGATTTGGGATCTTTAGGATTAGAATGCAATCCCAAACCTACATTATTTAGTGATGTCCAAACAGTAGATTTGGAATTGGAGCTTCCCATTTCAATTCCAAAGCTCCAGGACAGTGCTGCCAAACATACCCTAAGTGATATAATTGAACACCAACCAACTCAACAACACAAAGAAACAAGAAAGGACAATGAAGAGAAGAAGAAAGTAATTTCTGTGATTTGCTGGTGCTGATACAGATTGCTGACTTTCATCAAGCGATTCTTCATCTCCGTCACAATCATCATCATTTTCATAAACCAGATAAATCACACTTCTTCAGCTCAGCCCCCTTAAGAAATGAAGGCTTTCGCATTTCCACCAGTATCTCATCGCCATCTTTTAATATAGAAACTAACGGACTGTAATCTGGAAATCGGCACACATAAACTTGATCTTCATGTGTCTTGGGAACTGCTAAATCCAACACACTGGTGTATACTGGTTCATTCAGTCTCAGAATCTTCACCATAACATCTGGTATTACAGGGAGCTGGACTCTTAAATCATTTGGTGTTTGATGGTTGCGAGAGACAACAACACATATAATCACACTTCTAATCACACGGTTTTTTCGCGTTGAAAAACGAGCCACTCCTTGAGTAAACCAATCTGGGATCGTGCTTCCAGGAAAGCTCAAGTTGTAGAACTTCTTCAAAGCAACCTAAATTCAGAAAATTTGTCACAAATAAATTACTTTGGGTTCAAAATAGTACTCTGGGAGATCATAAAATCGAGAATCTTGCAAAACTACGATAATGCATGCTTGTACAGCAAGCTGCAAACACACGCACTCACCCACACACACATACAGAGAAAGAGAGGGACCTTATCAAATTTTCCCTTCAACGCTGAAGAGCATGAACTACAACCACTCATGCCCAACCTTCTCAAGGACTTAAAGGATTCGAGGCCTGGAACATCCACTAATTTTTCACAGTTTGTAAGGTACAGCTCTTGTAAACTCTCCAAACTTGACAGATTTGATATTCCTTCAAGTGCTGTACAATTTGCAGCATTTATCTCCACCAAACTCGACGGAAGAGGGGGAGAAATTTGAGCTCCTTACAGTGGGGAAGGAAAAGATTTTTGAGAGGGGAGAGTCCCCTCATACTAGATGGAAGACTAGAAAAATCATTGTGACCCAGATTTAAAATCTCTAAAGATGACAATTTCTCAAAATCATCAGGTATTTTGCCAGATAATTTCCAACCACGAGCGTCCAACTCTATTAACCCGGAGAGATTTGAGAAAGTAGATGGAAGCACAACAAGCTCTCTGTTTTCAGCATTCTGAGGCACTTCTTGATAAGGTTTCTTTGCCATTTTCAATTCCACTAAGCTCGTGAGCATCCCAAAATTTTCGGGAAAATCTCTCACTGCAGTTTCCACCATATACAAGTGGTGCAAAGACTTTAATTCCCCAATGGAAGCTGGCAGTTTACAGAGCTTCTTACATTTGTTCAAATTTAATATTCCAAGATTTTCCAACATTCCTATCGATTCCGGCAACTCAGTTATGGCAGCATTCACGATAATCAATGTAGTAAGAGTCACAATGCTTCCAATTGATTTTGGCAATGAGCAAAGTGATCTGCAATTCCTCATACTAAGCGTATCAAGTGATTTCAAGATGCAAATCTGATCTGGTAGATTTAGGATTGATGTCCCATCTAACCAAAGCTCAATAACAGAAGCTAAGCCTTCAATAGAACTAGGCAATGAACTCAAAGAACGACAATCTCCAACTGACAAGTCCTTCAGATAAGATAACGAACCAATAGAAGGCAGAGTATAGATTCAGGTAACTTCTCTATAGCAGTTCTGTCAAGGAGAAGTTCTTTTAAAGAACTCATGCCGCCCATGTCCTGTGGTAGTTCTTTCAGTTTTGAGCAATCAGAGAGGATCAGGTTCTCAAGACCCTTCATCCCAGAAACATCAAATTCAACAAGGGAGCAACAGCCTCTCAGGTTCAAATACGTAATGTGCTCACATGCTGTTAGAAAATATAAGAGAATATGAGAATTGTATTGAATATATTGAATTGTGTTGTATTGATGTGTACTAGCATAAGTTTGAATTACAATTAAAAACCACCCAAAGTGTAGTCAAAGTAATGATTACAAGTGCTATAAGTATGCCTATAATCATGCATTGGCATGATTATTTGTCTAACACACGCCCAATCTGTGAAGTAACTTTTTTAATTTTAGTCTGCAATGAAAATAATAGAATTAAACCACTGCCAAAGAAAAATATAAGCAGAACAAAACCCAAGCAATTCAATGACTTCAGCATGACCAAGAAGGTAAAATATACACAAGGAAGCCAATTTAGAAAGTGCAGGAACAAACTCTGGACATCCCTTTTTCCATTTACCAATTACAGTATAGAGAGTTGCGCAAGGCCAGTGATCTCTAGACCTGGGGTCGGGGTTAAATAGGTCTTGTTGTTTGGATTAGTAAAACTTAAACCACTTTTTAAGTTTAAAACAAAAAAATTAAATTTAAAATATAACTGAAAATTAGACTTCACTCATTCCGTCATCCAAATCATGCAATCAACAAATAAAGTAGGAAATAATGGAAACAATGAATTTGTACGTGGAAAACCCACCGGGGAAAACTACGGGACCTAGTCAAGATATATTCTGCCCTAGGGTAATGTATTTAGAGGCAAATGAGAGGCATATAGAGAGTAGGGTTTCTAGTGTTTTAAACTGAAAAGGAAGCAGGATTTTTGCATGGCTCAATCGATCAAGGAGCTAGTCAACCGATCAACACAACTCCAGTGGCCATCGATGAGTGACAGAGACAGGAGTTTATTTCAGGTAGGCATACTAAATTTAAGAAAGAAAAAAAAAATTCTTCAATCTAATAGTGCAACAGGACAACAAGCCAAAAAATAGAAGTGTAGTAGCGATTACTAATCAATATTCAAATAGTTCTTGATGATTTGAAAATAATTGCTGTAAGAAAATTCAGTACATAAAATACAGACATTAAAGGTCCATCTGGCAACAGTTTTTTTTTCGGTAAGTAAAATGGAAAGTAAGATAAATTTGGCAACAGTTTCTATTTTGCATTTTCGATTTCATGTGAAGCGGAAGCAATAATTTTTTGCTGCAATGTGATTTATTCCAAACCAAAAACATGTTTGGTAACTAAATTTGTTGCAAAATGTCTATATAAAAAAAATGTTTGAATGATTTTTTTCGAAAGGTAAACATTACATTGGTTATTTAAAAAAAAATAAAGAATTCCTGCAAACAAATGAAACTGACCTTTTAAAAAAAAAGAAAAAAAACAGATGCAATATTGTGCAAAACATAACAACTTGTTTTTGTGACTTGTTTATCTTTTTCACCAGTATCGTACCTTAGATTCTTTCCACACCTGTTTGAGCCTGCTGTAGCTCAAGTCAATGGCAACCATGTTATCCATGATTAAGGTTGATGGCATACATTTTAAAGGAAATCCTTTCCAAGATAGCCAAACTAGTCTTCCGGAGAGATGTTTGCAGCTTCCACTTAGGTGGCCATAATTGAGATGAAGCAGTCTCAGCCTTTTCATCTCTGTGAATGCCTTTGCATTCACTTGTCGTAGCTCCTCTGATTCTGACAAGTTCAGGGCTATGCCTTGAATTGCTTTCGTTCCCTGATGATAACAAAAAGTTGCATACATAATGTGATACCCCTCGATTCTAGAGCCACGGGTGATCAAGTCCGAGCACAGAATACAAGGGATATCAAACAATTAATATTTAAACAAGCATTGGAATACAAGATGAATTAAAAATAAACAGATAAGCTGAAAGGAAAACTAAATAATAAATTCTTATTTAAAAATCCTCAAATAAATAATGATTAAAATCCCATAATAAAATCCTCCAATCTTCTGATACCAGTAATTAATTAAACTACAACTCGGGAATCCATACTGTGGACCCCTAATAATATCCTAACTGACATAACTGAATCGAAAAAAATAATAAGTTACTAATGAAGAAGAGTCCTACGTAGAGTCGGAAGAATGAATGGCTGTCTCTGCTCGGCACGAACAATCTCTAAGACTGGAACTGACGAACACCTAAAAAATAATGGTGGGTCAGGCCCACATACAAGTTCTAATCTACTACATCCCAAACAGAGACCCGATACACGTACACATCCTAATTAATTCAACAATAACTAAATAGTCCATATATAGATATATACACACACTAAAGGAACCTCACTAGACTATAGAGTTGTCTCAACCTGAATAGTAAGCAACATGCAAAACGCACATATAGTGGGCATGAGTACCTAGACCTACCAGGGTACACAACTACGCTATATCTAGCTACACATCCCTGGCAATATACGCACCCTAACCACTGATCCTGAGACTCAAGCTCATATCATGGTGTATAATTATATATTTAAAATCCGTCCTATCCAACCATCAAAAATAAACTATCCAATTATTATTTCAATACTATGTCATCCAACTATTCCGTTGACCTGACACGAATAAGTAGGACTTAACACTATGGTTAATCCGTTCCCGTATTAAAACTAGTTAGGACTTAACTCGTAAGTTAATCCGTCCCTAATATGCCCCCATCCCATAATGGTGCATTAATCTATACCATAATCAAATAAAAGTTTCCAATCTAGGGACAATATAAATGTTATTTACATCTAACAATCCAAATAAATATGATATAAATCATATACACATCCTTTGCATTTACTTGAGCAAAAATATCAATTCTAAGTAGCATGCATTTAATTTACATCACAAGAAATTAACATACATCTCAATTAAATTGTACATCTCCATGTTCTGATTAAATTAATTTAAATCTAAACAATTGATTAAAATAATGTAATCCAACAATATTTAATTAATTAATTTTTTTTTTTTTTAAAAAGTTTAATCAAATTCCATACTTAGCATGTAAACTTAAATCATGCATTCCAACTCTTAATGAATCTATTTAAATTAAATAAATATTTAAATTTAGATTCATCAATCAAAAATAACAATTATCAATTTAATATCCTAGCATTAATCAAAATAATATTTAAAAAATATTTAATGCATAACTAATTATTATTACTATTGTTTTTTTTTTTATGTACACAAGATTATTCCTACCAACTGTGTATGCCTTAGGAAGAAACTAAATTTAAATTACAAATTTAACTATATAATGCATTCTTAAAGCCTCGTTCGGCGTGGACCTTTTACACTGAAAAGTTAGTTTTGAATTCATCACACACCTTATTCCTAAAATTGATTCGTGGAAACAAAGTTGTCTCGTTCAGCGTGCCTATACATATACATACAATCTTCTGATTTCCCTCACAATAATGGATTCATGTTTAAATCCCAGCATTGAATAAAACACTCCCAGATTTCATACATGGTCATAAATGGGTTTATGCTAATTTGGTTCATGTTAATCCTACAAGTCATTCCTCGTTCCACGCACATGAAGAAAAATACAATTATGATTTCACAAAAAAATATAAAACTGTTTCAGACTAACACCCCATAATATATATTACAACTCATGATTAGAACACATAATATAATACAACTCATGCAAATTTAATTTATTAAAATATGAAATTATTTCAAACCCATTAGTAAAACACATGAACTGAATTTTTCAAATAAATTTATATAATTAGATTCAATTAATTTATTTAAAGAACCTAGAATTAATCTAGCATGCATAGGGTATGAATCAAAGGAGAAGAGAAGAATTAAAACTTGCCTTTAGGGATTAGATAAAAAAACCCTAACCTCCTTCTTCCTTTTCTCTTCCTTCCTCTTCCTTCTTTCTCTCTCTAAAATATAGTACGTAATATATTTTCTAACCTCTTTCACAACCCTATAATTATATATTTATAGTCAAATAAAATAACACTAATCCTTTTCCCAATCCAAGCCAAACTAATAATAAAAATAAAATAAAATCTAAATACTAAAAAGGTAACTAAAATATATGGTACGTATAATCTATGTGTAATCCTTTTTATATGTAATATATAAATATATATGACTTTCCTTATATATATATATATATTTATTTATTTATTAAATATACATATACATGGGTAATTATCCGTACCCATTAAACCCCTTATCCAAGTAGTCTATGGAGCCCAATTAGTTGGTCCATTACTACTATCCATATCCAATTCCCTAAAAATATTAAAATAAAAATAAAATAAAACAATTAAATTCCTAAATAAATACACATCATCACACACAATTTCATTTAAACAATTAAATCAATTAACACATTTAACAAATAATTAAATCAATTAAACAAGTAAACAATTAGCCAAGAAATCAACTAAATAATTAAATGCAATTAAAATAATTTTTTTAAAAAATACCGAGACTATCCTTTTAAAATCAGGGGTATTACATTCTTCCCCCCTAACAAAAGGAATTCCGTCCTCGGAATTCGCCCTTACCTTCTTCCATTATATCTGGAAACTGTGAGCGAATGACATCCTCTTGCTCCCAAGTAGACTCAGCCTCATTGTGGTGACTCCACTGGACACGCACTAACGATATGACTTTATTGCGAAGAACATGATCCTTACGGTCTATAATGCGACACGGTGGCTCCACATAAGTTGCATCCGGTTGCAACTCAATCTCACCCACATCTATGTGCTGATACCTATCCTCATCGCGCAGAAATTTCCGCAACATGGAAACATGAAACACGTTGTGGATGCGATCCAAATGATCCGGAAGTGCCAACCGATAAGCTACAGCTCCCACGCGATCGGTAATCATGAATGGACCCACAAACCGTGGTGATAACTTCCCTTTCTTTCCAAAGCGCATTAAACCTTTCATAGGAGACACTTTGAGTAGAACCTGATCCCCAACCTGAAACTCCAAAACACGAGTACGACGATCCGCATAACTCTTCTGCCTACTCTGGGCAGTGCGCATGCGATCCCTAATAAGAGCAATCTTCTCAGAAGTATCCTTAATGAACTCAGGACCCAAAAAACGACTCTCGCCAACCTCCATCCAACAAACAGGAGATCTACATGGTCGTCCATATAATGCCTCAAACGGTGCCATACCAATAGTCTTCTGAAAACTATTGTTATATGCGAACTCCACAAGTGACAAATACTCCTCCCAATGGCCCTTAAAGTCAAGGACACAAGAACGAAGCATATCCTCCATTATCTGATTAACCCTCTCGGTCTGTCCATCAGTTTGAGGATGATAAGCAGTGCTAAGATGCAACTCTGTACCCAAAGCCTGCTGAAAACTCTTCCAAAACCCTGATACAAAGCTCGAATCCCTATCCGATATAATAGATAACGGAATGCCATGCAACTTCACAATCTCTGTAATGTAAAGTTTCGCCAACTGTTCCGAAGTGTAATCAGCGCGAATAGGCAAGAAATGAGCAGATTTAGTCAACCTATCAACGATGACCCAAATGGAATTGTGATTCTTAAACGAGTTAGGTAATCCCTCTACAAAATCCATAGAAATGCTCTCCCATTTCCACTCCGGTATCGGCAGTGGCTGTAGAGCTCCTGGCGGCCTCTGATGATCAATCTTGACCATCTGACAAGTACTACATCGTGAGACAAATAGAGCAATGTCCCTCTTCATACCTGCCCACCAAAACTGCCGCTTCATATCCTGATACATTTTGTCACCTCTAGGATGAACCGAAAACTCAGAGTGGTGAGTCTCAGTCATCACATCCTTCCTCAACTCATCAGCAGAAGGTACCACTAATCGTCCCTTGTACCTCAAACCTCCATCAGCCCCAACATAGTAAAATGGAACCTCTCCGGAAGCTATCTCTGCAACTTTATCAATGCACTGCTGATCCGTGAGTTGTGCCTTCAAAACTTTGTGAATGATAGAAGGTGTAACTACCATGCAAGCCAAGAAAGTATCCGACAATTCATCCACCCTCTTCAACGCATTCCACTCAGTAATGAACAGAGTGGAAAGACTACCAACAGGTCGACGACTGAGTGCATCTGCCACCACATTCGCTTTTCCTGGATGATACTGGATAGAGAAATGATAGTCTTTCACAAACTCCAACCATCGGCGCTGTCTCATATTCAGCTCTCGCTGAGTGAACAAGTACTGCAGACTCTTGTGATCACTAAATAATCTGAAGGATTCACCCAACAGATAATGCCTCCAAATACGTAAGGCAAAGACCACCGCTGCCAACTCCAAATCATGTGTTGGATAATTAAGCTCATGAGGCTTAAGTTTCCGAGATCCATATGAAATTGGTCGCTCCTCCTGCATCAAGACGCATCCCAGACCCTGCAAAGAAGCATCTGTGTAGACAAGATACTCAATCCCGCTCTGTGGGGTAGACAAAACCGGTGCAGAAGTCAACTTAGTCTTCAGTTCATCAAAAGCTTTTTGACAATGTTCATCCCACACGAACCGTACACCCTTCTTAGTCAGATGAGTGAGTGGTCCCGCTATCTTTGAGAACCCCTGGATGAACCTTCTATAATAACCTGCCAAACCGAGAAAACTCCGAATCTCGGTAGGTGATGTAGGCTGTCCCCACTCAACCACCGCTGAAACCTTGGCTGGATCCACCGCTATTCCCCTTTCTGACACCACGTGACCCAGAAATTTCACTTCCCGCTGCCAAAATTCACACTTCTCAAACTTGGCATACAACTGATGCTCACGAAACGTCTGTAAGACTATCCGAAGATGTCTAGCATGATCGTCCTCTGACCTCGAGTAAATCAAAATGTCATCTATGAAGACAATGACAAATTGATCCAAGTAAGCTCTGAAGACTCTATTCATTAAATCCACGAAAACCGCTGGTGCATTAGTCAACCCGAATGGCATCACCCGAAACTCATAAGATCCCTATCTAGTGAGAAACGCTGTCCTCGGGACATCCTGCTCCCGAACCCGAAGTTGATGATATCCAGACCGCAGATCAATCTTAGAGAAATAAGTAGCTCCCTTCAACTGATCAAACAAGTCATCAATCCTGGGCAAAGGATACTTGTTACGAATAGTAACCTTGTTCAACTCCCTGTAATCTATACACAAGCGGAGCGAACCATCCTTCTTCTTCACAAATAAAACCGGTGCTCCCCAGGGTGAAGTACTCCTGCGAATGAAACCCTGGCTGAGTAGCTGCTGAATCTGATCCCTCAGCTCGCGCATCTCCACTGGTGCCATCCTATATGGTGCCCTAGCAATAGGCGTAGTGCCTGGAGCTAAGTCTATCACAAAGTCGATCTCGCGACTAGGCGGCAACCCTGGAATCTCCTGAAATACATCCGGGTAATCCTGTACAATTGGTATGCTATCCAATAATACAGTAGTCCCCTCATCCGTTTCCTCCTCCATATGAAACAAATAGGTGCTAGTGATCCCCTTAGAACGCGGCATAGCGACGACGTACATGTCCTGACCAGGTATAGTGAAAATAACTGATCTATCATAACAATTAACTTGGGCATGGTAATGCGATAACCAATCCATCCCAAGTATCACGTCATAAGTGTGCATGTCCAGGACCAATAGATTGGCTAGAAATCTGAGTCTACCAATATCTAGTGTCACAGGCCCATCACTCTCATGTAAAATGGCTGTATCGCCCAATGGTGTAGAAATACCTTGAGGTTTAGTGCATACCCTCGTCCTCATCCCAGATAAAGCAACAAAAGTCCTAGCTACAAATGAGTGTGTAGCACCCGTATCAAATAAAACACGTCCATGTAAACCATGAATAGGAAACTTACCCTCAATAGCCTGAGGTGCCCGAACATCCTGTGGCATGAGGTTGTACACCCTGCCATAATGTAACTGCTGCGATGCCTGTCCCTGAGGCTGCGGCGGCGCTGGTAAAGCTGGATATGTCTGTCCCTGAATCCGTGGAACCTGTGGAGCTGGTAAAGACACTGGTGCCCTCTGCCCCTGCTGCACATGTTGTCCCTGTCTCTGTCCCTATCTTACTGTAGGACACTGCCTGGAAGTGTGACCATACTCTCCACAAGTATAGCAACTACCCTGGAAAGTACCAAATGGCCTCCTCTGTCGGTTAGCTTGTGGCTGACCCTGTCCTGCCTGTGGTCCCCCATTCTGCTGCCTCTGAATAGGTGCCCCATTCTGCTGAGCATCTGAACCACCCTTGTGCTTCTTCCAAGGCTGATGTCCCTGGAATTTGCCCTTGTCATTCTGTCGGTGTCCGTTCCCATTCCCTTTCTCAGCTGACTGATTAGCAGAGTCTCGATCACCCCGCTTCTCACCCTTGGCCTGTCTAAAATCCACGGTCAACTGATACTGCTGTAGAGCGGCGTCTACCACCTGAGCATAAGTAGTATAGGCTGGACTACCCGTAATAGCTCTCTTGATAGACCACATCAGTCCCTTGACGAAACTGTTGCGCTTCTTCTCCTCTGTATCCATCTCCTCCGGTGCAAAGAGAGACAAGCGTGTGAACTGCTGCTCATACTCCGCTACTGTCATGTTCCCCTGCTGCAGATTAAGAAACTCAGTCTTCATGGCTGCCCTGATTGCATAAGGGAAATACTTTTCATCAAAGCGTGCACTGAACTGATCGTAAGTCAATGCCATCCTCTCCGCTGCGGTGGTAACTGACTCCCACCACTGTAGTGCATCCCCAACTAGCTTGAAAGTAGCAAGCATCTGCTTCTGAACCTCCGTGCACTGAACCAAGCGAAGATGTCGCTCGATGTCCTGTTTCCACTGATGAGCTGCTCTCGCATCAGTGGAGCCTGTGAACTCAGGTGGGCTCCCCTTTGTGAAAGAACTCCTAGCCTTCTCCCAAGTATCAATCCGAACAACCGGTGCCGGTAACGGTGCCGGCTGTACTTGAGGCTGATTCCGAAGTGCAGCGGTTACCCCTGCTTCTATAGCCCGAGCAATAAGGTCATTGATGTGAGGAGGAAACTCTGGATCTCCTCCCTGATCCCGAGTCTGCTGAACTTCCTCATGCTCCTCATAGAACTGACCCTCATCCTCCTGACGCTGCCTACGAGCCGCCTCCCTTCGTTGCCTGTTTCTCTGATTGTCCCGTCTTCTTCTAGCGTTAAACATTCTGTTAACATAGAAAGACAGACATTAGTACGATTTAACCGAACCGTAAAGAATACAACGAATCCTAATCTTAGGCTCTAAATAAAAGAATACGCTACGCGGAAGTCTTAAAACGATAGATCCCTAGAGACACTTGAACCTGGAGTGCTCTGATACCAACTGTGATACCCCTCGATTCTAGAGCCACGGGTGATCAAGTCCGAGCACATAATACAAGGGATATCAAACAATTAATATTTAAACAAGCATTGGAATATAAGATGAATTAAAAATAAACAGATAAGCTGAAAGGAAAACTAAATAATAAATTCTTATTTAAAAATCCTCAAATAAATAATGATTAAAATCCCATAATAAAATCCTCCAATCTTCTGATACCAGTAATTAATTAAACTACAACTCGGGAATCCATACTGTGGACCCCTAATAATATCCTAACTGACATAACTGAATCGAAAAAAATAATAAGTTACTAATGAAGAAGAGTCCTACGTAGAGTCGGAAGAATGAATGGCTGTCTCTGCTCGGCACGAACAATCTCTAAGACTGGAACTGACGAACACCTGAAAAATAATGGTGGGTCAGGCCCACATACAAGTTCTAATCTACTACATCCCAAACAGAGACCCGATACACGTACACATCCTAATTAATTCAACAATAACTAAATAGTCCATATATAGATATATACATACACTAAAGGAACCTCACTAGACTATAGAATTGTCTCAACCTGAATAGTAGGCAACATGCAAAACGCACATACAGTGGGCATGAGTACCTAAACCTACCAGGGTACACAACTACGCTATATCTAGCTACACATCCCTGGCAATATACGCACCCTAACCACTGATCCTGAGACTCAAGCTCATATCATGGTGTATAATTATATATTTAAAATCCGTCCTATCCAACCATCAAAAATAAACTATCCAATTATTATTTCAATACTATGTCATCCAACTATTCCGTTGACCTGACACGAATAAGTAAGACTTAACACTATGGTTAATCCGTTCCCGTATTAAAACTAGTTAGGACTTAACTCGTAAGTTAATCCGTCCCTAATATGCCCCCATCCCATAATGGTGCATTAATCTATACCATAATCAAATAAAAGTTTCCAATCTAGGGACAATATAAATGTTATTTACATCTAACAATCCAAATAAATATGATATAAATCATATACACATCCTTTGCATTTACTTGAGCAAAAATATCAATTCTAAGTAGCATGCATTTAATTTACATCACAAGAAATTAACATACATCTCAATTAAATTGTACATCTCCATGTTCTGATTAAATTAATTTAAATCTAAACAATTGATTAAAATAATGTAATCCAACAATATTTAATTAATTAATTTTTTTTTTTTAAAAAAGTTTAATCAAATTCCATACTTAACATGTAAACTTAAATCATGCATTCCAACTCTTAATGAATCTATTTAAATTAAATAAATATTTAAATTTAGATTCATCAATCAAAAATAACAATTATCAATTTAATATCCTAGCATTAATCAAAATAATATTTAAAAAATATTTAATGCATAACTAATTATTATTACTATTGTTTTTTTTTTTATGTACACAAGATTATTCCTACCAACTGTGTATGCCTTAGGAAGAAACTAAATTTAAATTACAAATTTAACTATATAATGCATTCTTAAAGCCTCGTTCGGCGTGGACCTTTTACACTGAAAAGTTAGTTTTGAATTCATCACACACCTTATTCCTAAAATTGATTCGTGGAAACAAATTTGTCTCGTTCAGCGTGCCTATACATATACATACAATCTTCTGATTTCCCTCACAATAATGGATTCATGTTTAAATCCCAGCATTGAATAAAACACTCCCAGATTTCATACATGGTCATAAATGGGTTTATGCTAATTTGGTTCATGTTAATCCTACAAGTCATTCCTCGTTCCACGCACATGAAGAAAAATACAATTATGATTTCACAAAAAAATATAAAACTGTTTCAGACTAACACCCCATAATATATATTACAACTCATGATTAGAACACATAATATAATACAACTCATGCAAATTTAATTTATTAAAATATGAAATTATTTCAAACCCATTAGTAAAACACATGAACTGAATTTTTCAAATAAATTTATATAATTAGATTCAATTAATTTATTTAAAGAACCTAGAATTAATCTAGCATGCATAGGGTATGAATCAAAGGAGAAGAGAAGAATTAAAACTTGCCTTTAGGGATTAGATAAAAAAACCCTAACCTCCTTCTTCCTTTTCTCTTCCTTCCTCTTCCTTCTTTCTCTCTCTAAAATATAGTACGTAATATATTTTCTAACCTCTTTCACAACCCTATAATTATATATTTATAGTCAAATAAAATAACACTAATCCTTTTCCCAATCCAAGCCAAACTAATAATAAAAATAAAATAAAATCTAAATACTAAAAAGGTAACTAAAATATATGGTACGTATAATCTATGTGTAATCCTTTTTATATGTAATATATAAATATATATGACTTTCCTTATATATATATATATATTTATTTATTTATTAAATATACATATACATGGGTAATTATCCGTACCCATTAAACCCCTTATCCAAGTAGTCTATGGAGCCCAATTAGTTGGTCCATTACTACTATCCATATCCAATTCCCTAAAAATATTAAAATAAAAATAAAATAAAACAATTAAATTCCTAAATAAATACACATCATCACACACAATTTCATTTAAACAATTAAATCAATTAACACATTTAACAAATAATTAAATCAATTAAACAAGTAAACAATTAGCCAAGAAATCAACTAAATAATTAAATGCAATTAAAATAATTTTTTTAAAAAATACCGAGACTATCCTTTTAAAATCAGGGGTATTACACATAAGAACAAATATATATATATATCGTTGGGTTGAAAAGCCTTTTACAACGAATAAGACTCGTCATATTGACAAAATATGTAATTAATTCATGTGTTGAGCTCTTACTGTGTTATTCCTCAGTACACCGAGAATGTCCTCACGATACCACAATCTACTACGTTCGTCAGGCTCTTGAGGGGATTCTTGGCGGACAATATCTCTACCCATGGCTTGAATCATATCATGCATCATCAGCCGGTTATGCCCATCAATTCTTACTAGACAACGACGAGATAGAACCCCAATTCCAGATTCTGGGAAGAAACCACAGGCATCTAGTATTTTGATTGACAGATCTTGATCCATTCTAACAAAAAAACATGCAATATCTAGGAATAATTCCTTCTGTTCATCGTCAAGTGAATCATAGCTTAGCATAAGTTTCTTTTGAATATCGTGATGAGGAATTTTTTTTAACTTCTTCAACTGACTTGTCCATTCAGGGATTGTTTTCTCTGACAAAAAGGAACCTAAACTCTCAAGAACTAAAGGAAGCCCTTGAGCATAATCCACTACTTCCTTTGAAAGATTATCATAGTCTTCCAAAGGATGGTCTTTCCTGAAGGCGTGCCAACTAAAGAGCTAAAGAGACTCCTTCTCATTCAACGGGCAAGCTTCATACTCCTCATCCACCTCAAGCATACTTACTGAAGACAAATCTCTAGTTGTTATAACGATTCTACTTCCACAATGAAACAAACCACGATTTATGGCTAATGCCCTCAATTGGCGAATGTTATCAACATCATCGAGAACAAGAAGAACCCTTTGACACCATGCTCTCTGTTTTATTTCCTCAATCCCATGATCCTCACTTCTTATTCTAGGCAGATTTCGATCCATTAGCAGATCACAAAGAAGCCTTTCTTGTAATTCAACAAGGCCATTAGGTTGCATCGAAGTTCGTCCCACATTTGCAAGAAAGCAACTACTTTCAAACATATAATGTATGCGGTTATACATTGCTTTAGCTATTGTAGTCTTACCGATTCCACCCATCCCCCATATGGCAATAATCCTAACATCACTATCTGACCGCAACTTTAGAAACTCACACACTTGTTGAACACCACGCTCTATTCCAACTGGGTAGTCCGCAACACTTAAACAAGTAGGATTGAGTTTATCTGCGACGTCTCTAACAACAATCTCAATTAACTTTGACTCAGACCTGTATATTTATTTTTAATTTTTTCCATAGTTAATTGGAAAAAACAATAATAATAATAATAAACAATCAGAATTGGGGTAACTTCAACTAGATTTTCTGCAATTAGAATTCTAAAACATGTCTGTAGCATAAGAGAGAAACTAGGGCTACTTGATTTATAACTCTGAAAACAGTTCTCAAGAATTCAGACAACAAAAACCTTTTTCCAAACATTTTTTTATATGTTTTCAATTTTTTGAAAATAGAAACCCCGGACTTACAAACCAAGCAGCTCTATGCTTTGAAGAGAGATAATTGCATACCCGTTGGCCACATTCTGCAGGACGTAACCGGACAAATTGGCAGCATCAGTTAGAGCAGCCCTCCACCTCTCCACAGATTCAGATCCGAAGCTTTTTTCATGGCGGGAAAATGCTTCCGCATAACAGCCCCTCTGTGACCGAGCATCGGAGGGTTCGTGGTCGTAAAAGATGGGAAGAACAATCTGTTTGAGAGTCCTCTTGCAATCCATGATCTTCACGAGCTCTTCCAGGCACCATGTTGAGGACGCATAGTTTTTCGAGAAGACGACAATGGAGATCCTTGATTCCTCGATCGCCCTAACCAATCCGGGCCCGATTTCTTTTCCTCTTCTGAGTTTAGAGTCGTCTCTGAACGTGCGAAAACGATCGCGCTCCAAAGCGTCCAAGAGGTGGCCGGTGAATTTGTTCCGAGTATCAATGCCGCTGAAAGACAAGAAGACGTCGTAACTCCGGGAAGCTGCCATTTTCAAAGCTCGAACAGTTCAAATGACAGGAATGGAAAAGAATTGTTGGTGAGTGAATGTAAAGATGGAAACAACGAATGGGAAATGACATTTTCAAAGCTTGTGATGATAGTGGGGAGACTCTTTTGCGTTTTCGTCATTATTTGTTTATTGACTCTCCCATTTGGGGTAATGGGATAAGTTTCGTCCATGTTTCCTTTATTGGGAAGGTATGTTTTTCACTTTGGGTTGGGTGCAAACAGAGTTTTGTAGAAATTGTTAGTCGGTACCCGATCATCCAAACAAGATCTGTCGCTTTCGTCTAATTTTTTAATTACCTATTGTGATTGGCAGCATTATTTCGACTCGCGCGGTGCTGATGAGTTTATATTTTACAATTATTTTTATTTTTAAAATTATATTTTTTATATTATTTTGATTAATTAATCAATTTTTGTTTCTGTTCATCTTAATGGATAAGAGACCAATTCAAAATGAGAATGCAAATAAGTTGAATGATGAATGCAGAAAAGAAAAGTATTATTATTTTTATAGCTAAAAAACAAACACAATAAGCAGGAGTGATGTATGGTAAGAACTGGTGCAGGATAGATATTTTGGGTGTTACTAATATGTATGCTAGACTATCATAACATGGTAAAATTAATGTTTAAAAATTTATTTAGTTTGGATAGGATTATCCTAATTCATAACCGATTTATTAACTAAACGGATTCTCCAATTTGGATCGGAGGAGGGCGGAACGGAGAATGGGCTCTCGCCCCTTCCATTATGTGCTTGTTATTTTGTTTTATTTTCTTCTTGATGAGGAGACACATTAATGAAATGATGTTATAGTTCTTGTTTATTAATTCCCTTGACTATAGTTTTAATATTCATGATTCTTACTTCATATGATTGATTGAATTTTAGAACTTTCGCCATTAATATAATGTATTCCTAGTAGTTCTAGTAATTCCATATTTAATTGATCAATGCTTGATTTTGTAACTCTTGATAGTAAATTTATTTGATTTTTATGTTTTTTTATTGAGTTGGATATATATGATGCTTGGAATTAGGGATGGCAACGGGGCGGGTTTGGAGCGGGTTTCTCTAAATCCCGCCCCGCCCCTTTTAATTTTTATCAAGTACATGCCCGCCCCGAGACCCGCGACGGGTTGGATTTTCATATCCAACCCCGCCCCGTTAGGAAATACTGTGCCCCCGTGCCCGCCTCACTAACAAATTTTTTTCTCCCACTTTTTGAAACTTAAACTCCTGCTATTTAAATGTGCAAAGCCTAGGAATGACACAACATAAATAAAATTATGTATCCTAATAAATAAATAAAAAATAACATGCACATAACATAATTCAGAGAATATAATAAACAAAAATAAAAGTTTAATACAACCAAATCACAAGAAGTTCTAAGCTCCAACTTCCACCATAACCAAAACAAAAGCAAATTTAATACCAAGTTTATATCCCAAATTAGGATTATAAGAGATGGGTAATTGGGTAAGCCGCTAAAATAACTTATTAATATATATATATATATATATATATATATATATATATATATATTAAATATAGTTATATGCAGGGCAGGGCGGGGCGGGGCCCCTAGGATATGTATATTGAACCCTTACCCGCCCCGTGACCCTCGACGGGTACAAAATTTGTATCCATGTCCGCCCCAACGGTATAACAAGTGTTCCCATATCCATTATTAACGGGGCGGAACGGGGCGGGGCCCCGGCGGGGCGGTAAATATTGACATCCCTACTTGGAATTCATTTTTTGATCTTATGTATTTCATATTTTGGATATATATAATGCTTACAAATTTACTCATTTAAGTGAATTTGAATCTATTTTTGAATTTATATTTCACACGTGCCTTATTGCTAAATCTTGAGGAAACAATAGATTGATTTCTAGATTGCTACTCTAAGTTTGAGAGAAGATTATGAATTTAATAGTGGTGGACTTCGATACCTTAGTTACGTATTTATCTTTATTAAATGTTTAGTTTAAATTTATTCTTCAATCAACCAACTTGTTAACTAGGTTAGTTTTAAATTAATTTGGATTCCCATTCGTTTTTCATCAAAGCATTCCCTTGGGTTCGACCTCGTTCTTGCATGTCTATACTCCAATAGAGTCGTGTGCTTGCAAGTAATTTTAAAATAAAACATTAGGTGTGGACGTGTCAGAGTCCAGTTCGTTCACCTAAACTTGGGGTGTTGTGTTCGTAAATATCAAGTACTCCTGGTTCAGCCGCCCAAGTTTTATAAACCCGGTGCGTCAGTGATGACCAAAAGATGACCCGATAACGAATCCAAAATGCGGAAGCGAAAGATGAAAAATGGCCACTAGAGATGTACGTCATCCCTAAGGCACCAAAACGACTCCCTATGAAGACACGGAACTCAATGAGTCAAGCAATGAAACAAGGATTTCAAACTCGATAAGAAATGAATTAAGGGTAAAATGGTCATTTCAAACTAAAATGGATGCCACCGTACATACCATTGGAAAGACAACGAAAAATGAATGAAGTTAGACTCAAGAATTACCGGATTTGGAATCCGGACGGAAAAGATATAAAGTCTTGAAGTCGAAAGAAGAGAAACCCCATCCCGGTTCGAACCAAATCTTGACACTATCTCACTAAAACTTGAATATCATGAGCTACAATTAAAATTTGCAGCTGTAATTGATACCATTGGAAAGCTTATTTCAACGTGGTCAATTTAGACTCAAGAACGGACTAATTCGGAGTTAAAACGAAGGAGATACGATAATTTGAAGTCAGAGGTGCAGTGTTAAAAAACGGATGGACGAGCGCTCGTAAATGAGCACACCAAGGTAGTGCCCACTACCCTGATTATGAGCGCTCGTCCCCCATGGACGAGCGCTCGTCCTGCAGACAAACAAAACAGCTTTTTGAACTTGAAATGTGATTTTGAGGACTTTCTGGACCCTTTTTGGAAAAAAGTTGTGCAGTAACCCCCCCCCCCCCCCCCCCCCCAAAAAAAAAAAAATCATGTTTTCTGGTCAACCATGTCAAGACCAACATTTATTTTTCAAGTGAAATACCAAAAATGCCCTTAAGATCAGAATTATCAAAAATGTGAAAATGAATGCTGCTCTAAGTGTTCATTTCATCAAGAATGGTGTTGTGTGCTAAAGTGAACATACACGCGTATGTAAAATGACATAGTAGACACGCTACAATGGCCTACGGCCTCATTACAATCCATTTTCAAAATTTGACCTATCAAACCTCCATTTTCACAAATAGGCTATTAGGGCAAAACATAAGCTTTGAAAGCATACATGTAAGCTTTGAAATTTATGGCCTTGGCCTTATGTTATACATACAAAAGAGCATTGTCAAGTGTACTTAAATACACATAATACATCAAATAAGCCATCCTAGCTTGCAAAATACCATACATCTATGGTATACAAAATATATCATCCAAAAGTAAAGCATGCTAAACAAGTACATGTCAATATACAAAAATGATTCAAAGTACTCATGAGCCCCTAAGGATGATAAGCATCCAAGAATATAGTGTCCTTACCTGTAAAACAACCCAAACCACTAGGGTGAATAATCAAGTTACTCATAAGAAGAAGCATATGTGTATACCCTAAAGTTTCAATATCATTGCAAGATCAATATAGATGAATACAAGGGATCATTCCACTTAACGTCTATGTTTAAGGTGTTCTAAAGGATTATCTTAAGCTAACTTAATGATTCTTTAACAACACATATCAACATCAATGTACTTAATAACATCAATTCGCCAATAGCAAAAATTACAAGTTACAATTAAGCATTGGTTGTCAACTTGGAATTGAATACGAAATCAATTAATAGAAGACTTGGACATTACGTCTCGGAATGAACCAAGATCAAAATAGTTATTCCGGGCATTAACCCGCTGGGAAGGCCACCCTAGTGCGCACTATCTTAATTGGGGAGAATTCATACCTCCCGCACTAGAGCCAAACTCTAGCCATATCACTTGTAACAATGTCCCATGAGAATCCAAAATCATAATCAAGTTCAAAACTCATACACTATAATTAAGGCATATAAACCACATTCTATGCACAAGTATTTTTGAAACCACACAAACCATGTCTTAGGGTTCTAAGTCTAAAATAGCATACCAAATGACAAGTCTTTAACATGATATAATGTGTAATACAATACCACCAACTTATCAATTTAAATCATGCCTCAACAATAAGCTTTATATACTAGATTACAACATTATAGTATTAAGCTTTTAAAATAATTACAATTACCAATAGTAAATGTTGAGAGAGAAATCCACGCGGTCCGATACGACACCGTTTTCTTGCACAGAAGAGAATAGAAGATCGATGAATCTTGATGGCACCAATGTGGTGCCTGCCAAGAGCTCTTCGACGATCAAGTCAGTCACTGGAGGTGTAAAAGAAAGGCAGGGATTTAATAATCATTTTTTGACGTACCTTTATTAACTGGTAGGATCTCATTCTTATAGTCACACTACTTCAGTCATTTGCGAGATCAGAGGAGATCCGCTTCTGCGAGATCAAAGGAGATCCGCTTATGCGAGATTAGAAAAGATCCGTTTGTTTCCAGATTTGTCAGGGACATAATTTAACCCTTTTGACTTCCTCAAATTGTGCCAAGGTTATCCTTACCTTGCTGAACCACGTCATCTTTCAATAACTTTGATAATGAAATATTATTATTCTTATCCAATGAAAATATCATCTTTTGAAAGTCGAAGAGGTTTGACGGCCGGTCAACACTTAGTTGCCTCTATTATTAGGTCAAGATAGGTTATGTTTATTTTTCCTTATCAGTTGCCCCCCATTCCCAAGCTTGCTCGTCTAGCTTTGGGAATGTGATTTTTTTTTTTTGCCATGGGCACTGTTCCCTCGGGAAAAGTGCCTGCAAGTACTGTTCACTTAAACAGTAAACTTTTTTTTTTTTTGTTTTGCCCTAGGGC